TTTTGGGGCGATGGGCAATGCCTTTTTAAGGAACGGACTCTTATTCCAATGGCAATGGACCTTTAGTTGGGCATAACCTTAGTTTAGGCTCCATTTAGTGATAATAAGAGAGTTGGAGTCATAAAAGTGAGATTGGGTAATGCATCATTGTTGTTTTAATTTGATATTGATTTAGAAATTGTTACTTGTATGATTTTAAATCTTGCATACCTTGTTTTGTATACTATTTGTGAAAGGATTGCAATACACACACACACGCATTTGCAAATTGGTTTAAAAAAAGTATATAGGTATATATTAGAATCCAACTATTACTAAGATTTTTGATCTCACATGTTACCTCTTACCAATTTTCAAGTGAGTAGTTAGGTGGAGCTATATAGAGGGTATCAGAGAAGTGAGCTTAGGCTCTCTTTTCTCGACTTCACATATTCTGTTTGTTTTGTGATTATCGTTGCCATAACCTAGGAACTTAATTATATAACTTTATTTTGGATAATTATTGTAGGTTATTTTGGAGAGAGAGATGTTGTTGAGGAGAGAGGAGGAGTGCCAGGCTTCATTGATCTAAGGTCTTGGAGCATGGTTTAAAGCCTCCCAATACTCTAATTTATCTCGGTGAATGCCATTCACCAATTAAGGAGCTTATATAGGTAACTCTTGTTGCTTTTTCTTGCGGGGGGCAACCGCATTTAATTTACCTCACATGCTTAACTTTATTTTAGAGTGAATTTCCTAATTTGTGAATAAATATATATATATATATATATATCAAATATTATAATTCTATGAGAATAATTCCGTTAAGTGAGATGCTTGTGGATAATTTTTATGTGTTGGATATTGTTTTAGAATAAGAAAATGTTTGATGAATTGAGAACACAGCCACTAGCCATGTAATAAGATTGTGTCTACAATTGAGAGATGTAAATATTGAATATGATATGTGCAGTGTTCAATCATGATGCTTAATTTTTCAAGATTGAGTCTAAAAAAATAGGTTTGAATGAGTGCCCATCCCATATTTTATTGGCTCAAAGAATAAGATCACTTTTAGGGATCTCATTATGCTTCTTGTAATTCTTATAGGGGGTTTTCCAAATATAACTCATGTTATAGAACTAAACGAAGCAAATAGCTCAATATTTATTATATTTTGCATAATGGCTAATTTATTATATTTGTCAATATTATACTGTTGTATATTAATAATAAATTCCTTATAAATTTTCAAAATTTTAATGATAAACTGACTATATATTAATGATAAACCCTTTATATATTATTGTGAATTAGCCATACTCTCAAATTTTCAAAAATTTAGCTCATATTTTTGGACACAAGATTTATTTATTTTTTTTTGGGCTAATGGGCCAATTTATCCATTCTTATATTAATATCCCTCTTAACGTAAAGGGTGAGGTGAGATAAGAGTAGAGGCAAGTATTTAATCTCTCATGATGCAACAAAATACAATTATTAAATTAATTAAATATATAGATATGTAAATTTTCAAAATTTCTAAGGAATTGAATTTGATTTAACTGTTCAAATCTCACCTTTGACCTATTCTAGTCCATCCTAGCTTACCTTCGTCCATACAAATACACACGTTGCCATTAACAAAGATTAGTCCAATTGGTAAGAATTCGACTTATAACTCACAAGATTGTAGAACTAAATTCTATTACTAATTGTAAGGATTTTTTTTTGGTGGGTAATCCATAAGTACCTTTATAAGCATTTTTTAAGTCTAGAGGCATGCATTAGTCCTAATGAGACCTTAAGACCCAACTCACCTAAATCTTTTTTATATACAAAAAAAAAAAAAACACACACACACACACACACCACATCAGCATGCATTAGTCTTAATGAAAAGGATCATGATTGTTTAATCATGACGTCTCAAGTTTGAGTTCAGATGAATGCAAAAAATGCCTTTGAAAAAACTATCTTTAAGTTTGAGTCCAATCATGTAGTTAATTAGGCCTGATTATGTTTAAAAATCTTCTACTTTTTCAAGCCAAAACTCTTATAAAAATATGCTTAAATTGGTAGGTCATCAAACCCAACCAATATTCTTAGCTCTAGACTTTTGGCATGAGAATTTATGGTGATGCATAAGAGAAAAAAAAAATGAAATATTTTGGGATGGACTTCACGCGCACGCACAAACACACTCCCAACTAGATGGTATTATGCATATCTTATATTAGTCTAATTTTTTTATATTTAGTAGGCAGGCATTAAGTATATGAGGTTACAAGTAGGATTACACCTATAAAATTCCACTTATAGGACAGTTGGGCCTATTGCCCCCCTTACAATTTATTTTTTTTTCCGTAAAATGTAAAGGTTATATATTTTTGGCCCCCTAAATTGGCATATCATAGAAGCCTATAACACAATATGAAATTCTCATTTCAATTTTATAGTAGCCTTTTGTGCATGTATAATCCAACTGTTGTAGTAGCTTGAAGATATATTTGTCATAGGATCTATTTATTTTCAACAAGACAATGTTACAATTACTCTTAAAGCATTGATATCATTTGATTTTTCTTTTATTTTATATTTGATGAAAGAAATTATGAGAATGATTACTACCAAATTTTACAAAGCACTGCAACAAAAATCTTAAAATATATTAAATGAAGAACATATCTATTACGCCCTAAAAATATAAGGTGTGACAGGCATAGGATATGTGTACAAAACTCATATCCCATAAGCCTTAACTCACGAAGCTTTAAATTTTAAACCATAAATACATTTAATTTAGTAATAGGTTTATATTACTTATTCATTTATTTATTTCAATACTCTTCATGCAAACAAAATTCATAATTTTCTATAAAACTTTGATAGAATCTCTCCCTAATATAAGGCTTTTCAAAATTTATCAATAACAAAAAATAATATTTCAAACAAAGGAGCTCTGCTCCTTACTAATAATTATGCAATCTGATAAGAAAAATAAGAATCCTACTTATAGCCAATGTGGATCACTTAAACCAAACCATTAAATTAGTACAAAGTTCAATTTACATCAAATGAGATTTGTCTAAAGTAATTCCTCCACTCCCTTTTCAACGATAAAATGCCTCAATGAACACCTTGAGATAAAAGTTGATCTACACCATCTATAACCAAAATATTTTTCTGGTGGATAACGTGCTAAATTTAAAATTTAATAAAATAAAAGAAAGAAATATAAATGTAATAGGCATAAATTTATATAAAATAGTCATTTAGAATAGTAGAAAAGGAAAACTCAAACATCATTTAAAAACTTGATCAAAAAACATCTTCATATAATGATAACACAATAATCATGAAATCCTATTATTATAAAGAAATTCACTTTCTATCTATTAGGCTCATGTTAAAAATAGTTAGGAGATGCTTCATCGTTATAAAAAAATCCAGTCATAAAAACTAGCTTACTTTATAGGATTAGTTTAAAAACAATAAATTTGAAATCTTGTTTAGCAAGGCTTTATTAAAACAGATAACAAATGTGGATATACAACCCACGAGGATAAATAACCAATCGAGTGTAGACACAATCTATGAAGATAAGTAACTAATCAAGTGTGGCTAGAAACCATGAAACAAGTGCAAAAAGAGCCATGAAACAAGAAGTGAGTACAATACTCATGAATATCCATCCCTTCATTTCACATGCATTGGCCTGCACATGTGGCTAGTATCTCTACAAACACCTTACTATCTAGGTGTATTATAACGTGTCAAGGGCTAACAAAATTGTCGTTAACAACTAGTGTTTTGATTTGGTCCCACACTTTACATGCATGAGTCATAATAATAACTCATTCTTTAAACTGTAAAATTAAACATTGCTAATATATTAAATAATAGTAGATACTTAGTTATAAAATAACTCTAAATCTTCTTATAAAACTTTGTACAATAGAAATTTTTTTCCATAACAATTGATAACAAAATTTAAAATGTAACAATATAATCAGTTATGAATGTATTTAAACATAATTGTGAAAAATAAATTTATTAATAAATCATTTGGGACGCTATTCATTTACCTGACACATTCTCAACATATAATTTACTCCTAATTAACCACTTTTATAATGTAGTCTATGCTTTAATTCTCTAATGCCCAAAGGGACATTTTTGTTATCTCCTTTATGTACTTTATAAATCCAAAATTTTCAATCCAAACAAATTTAAAGAAATGAGAAAGAGAGTCTCAACATCAATCATTCACACATAAGAAACCATGTTGAATATAATAAAGTACAAACATATATACAATTAATATTCAAACTTTCCAAATCTTCTTATAGAAATTAAACAACTTATGCTATGATTTAATCAATGTTATCACTCATGTATATTCAGTTTTCATAAACTTCCCTCTTCAAATATCTTATCAAATACTTTATACAAACTCAAAAACTAACATAAGACCATACAAATCTGGTCCTTGAATTAATAATCACATATCTTTATTCAAAACTTTCTAACTTTATTTCCAACTTAGCAATATTGGGAATAATTACCTGGAATTTACTTGACAGTGACACATTTTACATTCATTTGCTACAACAACTAACATACCCCTGTCAAACATTCCATCAAATACTTTGCGTGCATTCAAAATCAAACCATACAATAATCAATTAAGTCTTTAATTATATTTCCCAACAATTTCTCAATCATTCATAATTAAATTCATCATGCTTTTCAAATTCAACTCTTTGACAAAAATCAATTTAAATCTTAAAAAGAACATCTAAATCAATTTCCTTCCTGCGTAACCAAAGTGCTCAAGGCATCATTATTCATTTAGAGTGAGCTTCCAAGTTTTCATTTTAAGGTTGATTGACACCAATCTCTTATTTGCACACACAGTAGCAAGAAGCAATAAAGGAAATGGATTGGAGGATTTCTAGTTTTTCATCACACACAGAACAGTATTGACGCAAAATAGAAGCAAGAAGATGAAGAGGAACCAGCGAAGAAAACAGGGGATGAGGAAGATGAGCCTGCCAATCCCAACAGAGCCTTCAACAGCAACGAACCTAACTCCTCACTACACCACTCACCGGCAACAAGAAGAGGAGGAACACGTGGAGGTGGCTGATTGAAACAGAATCAGTCGTGCACCCTCTCATCCATTGCTTGCAAACAGAGACACAAAAATAAGAAGGTTCGACAGCACCGTCACCTACAGCAGCGGCAGCAAGGAAAAATCACTCATCATCCCTCTCTCTCACACCGGCGATGGAAGAGATGAAGAATTGCACAGTAGGGTTTTCTATTATTATGTTTTTTTTCAAGCCCTCTCTTTCCATTTTGCTGGTGCGAGCACGGAATGAAAAATGGCAAGAGGGAGAGGAAAAAATCTGACATGTGGTGTATTTTTTCTTTGGTTTTTTTTTTTCAAGGGCGTTCTAGTAATTTTACAATGCTAAATCAAAAATAAATCATTTTTCATTACACAAGTGGGGATTTGAACCCGAAACAGCCGAATAAATAGCACCCACAACTTCCACTAAGCACCGTTATTTGATCCGAAAGCTATATATAAGAAAAATAAAACGAAAATTTGTGATCACAAATCTTAATAATAATAATATTATTTTTAGTATCATTACATTATCTCTCTTAATTTTTTTTTCAACTATTGCAAGCCCTGTTTTTTATTATTGATTTATTTAATTAATTTATTTATTAATATTTTTATTTTATTCGTCTATTTTTAATTTCAAAAATTCTTAAATTTCCTGATCATTACAATATCAATTGAAAAAAATTAAATAGTAAATTCAACAAGTAAGTAATAAATTTTTTATACTAAACAAAACTTTAAATTTTAAAAATACATCTAAATTATACAATGCTTATAGGAAAGATGAAATCTTTGTTAATTTAATAATAATTTATATTGAGAAGTAAATTTTCAAAAATTTTATCTTAAACATAATTATTAATTATTCTTATTTTATGAAAAATTAATGAGCAACACTTAAAATGAAGATATATATTTATTTTTGTTTTATATATATATATATATATATGTAAAATTGAATATAAATACATAGGTTGAAATATTTATGTTATATTAGTGATATATATATATATAGATTTAATTTTTTTCTTATTTATTATATATACTTTGTTATTCCGACCCCTAACAAATTTTTGGCTCTGAGCTAATTTTTTCCTAAAAATATTTCTACGTGCTATGGATATATCATATAATTTTTTTGATTAATAATATAAACATATATCTTTCAAAATTAGTTTAATGTCGTCTTTTTTTTTTCCAATATAGTTAACTTTGCTTTAAAAGGTATCATGATCAACGATTGACTTGACATTGCAACCGTTTTAAAAGATCATGCGTTGTATTGCTCCACAATTTTTTTTTAGGTGCCTGTAGCTTATTCTTTGAAAATACTTTATCAGGACAAAAATGAATTTTAATCCAAAATATATATAATCATTACACACATTTTTTCATTGTATGATTACTTTTCCAATCTTTTAAACCATTTAGGGCTACTAGTTCTTAATAGATTTTAAAAATTATTTATAACACCTAAACACACACACACACAATAATACAGAAAGAAAGAAAATGAATAAAATGTTTTTTTATTATAAAATCAAAATTCAATAATAGAAATCATATTTGTTTTTGGCACAAAGAGTATTTATTATAACAAAATTTTTAGGGAAAATTGGTGAAAAGGATTAGATTGAAAGCTAAATTGTGCTTAAGGATCAAAGCACGTTGAAATACCAATCTTATTATTTTATTCAGAAAAGGATGAAGGCAATGAATGAAAATGCCCTTTGTTATTGGGAGAAAACATTTTAGTAAATCAAAAATGATTTCTGACAACCCTGATCCTCCAAGCCATCTAATAACTTCTCTCATGTTTATATGCGTTTAATTTCACAACTTTTGCAAATGTGCTACAATTGCTTTTGAGGCCTCCTCCACTGATAGGCAACTCCGCCCATCTTCACTTCTAGTTTTGGACGAAGTAGCTTTTCACTATTATCTCACTTGAAGTGTCTTCCATGGTCTCCCACAATTTGGTGATCTCAATCTCTTTATCCTCCTCCACTTTCTTAGCTCCCTCAAACTTCAACCCAAAGTATTTGTTTCATCTCAAATCCAATTCTATTCTTGCTTTCTGTATGCTTCCCCAAAGAAATGAGATTCGATGCAGAGAAGCTTATCTGTAAATTTTGCTCTCTTTTTTTCGCTTCATTTGGATGTTGTAGGAGTCAAAATTTGTCCTTGAATGTAAAAAAATGTTAGCATATGCAAATGCATGATGGCATCCATAGAAGTGCTTACTAGTATCATTAAATTTTCATATCCATAGCTTCTTTTCCTTCCATATGGTGAAAGTTGTGATTTTTTGTTGTTAGGCAGTGCTAGGGTGGAGGTCAGTGGTGTGAAGTTTTTTTTCAAATTCTCATTGACTTGATAGATTGCTCATTGACTTCGAAAGCATACTGAATCATGTTGTGTTCTTCTCTTTTTCTCTATAGCAAAACAAAGATAGTTTGTCAAGTTCCTTGGGTAAAGTTTTCTCTATAGATTATTGAGTAATTGTTTCTGAATTATTCTATATACTAGTAGTTGTGGGCCTATTATTAGTTGCTAATGAATAAGCGAATAAGAGAAAGTTTCGAAGTTCAATGATAACCTTTTGTTCAATAATCTCTCAATTACTTTTTCCACATTGTACAAATTACAATGATAGTGGCCCTAGTTATCTAGAGTTGGTTTCTGTACTCAAATAGACTTTTGCTAGTTTCTAGTAGAATATGTATTGGAAGAGCCATTGTGTAATAACCCAAAAAAAATTAAAAAAATTAATTAATTAAAATTTATGATCAAGTATTTTAAGAGTATTTTTAAAAAGTTTTGTAGTGGAGGTAACAAGAAAGATTATTGGTCTAATGGCAACTTGTAGTTTATCAAGTTATGGGCTTGAATCTTCATTATGCATAAGAGGTCTTCCAGTCTTATAAAATTACTAAAATGCTATTTTTATATATATATATATATATATAATAAGAAGGAGGATGATCAATTTATCTCTTCCATCTGTTTCTTTTTCTTGAAACATCGATCATTCTTCAGGGGAGGAGAGAGAATCCCTCCATTTTTTCCTCTTCCTCGGTCCTTCCAATCGCCGGCGAAAATGTTATGAGAGTCACCATTCCATCAGCCACTGTGGTAGATCTGTGAGCTTCGAATCTTCATCTCTGTGCCGTCGATATCTTCCTCTTTCGTCCGTATCGTGCTGTGATGCTTTGAATCCTTTCTCTATTCCTTCTACACGTTGCCAGTGTGTACATGGGAGTTGTTTCTGTTGTTGCTGGGGGTTTGATTTGCTGGTCCTTCTGCTCCCTATTTCAGGTCACAGCCCTTCTTCTTTATCTTCATGTTCTGTCACTGCAATTATGGTTGTCTTTTCTTCGTTTCTTTTTGCTTTATTGGTGAGCCAACTTCCACTTTCTCCCTTGTCAGATTTGAGTATGTATTGTGACTGGAAATTGCTAAAATTTTGAATAAGAATTGATTGCTAAAAGTTTGCTTCACTGTTCAATTTTCTAACAAGCTTAAATTGAAGATTAAGAATTTCACTTTTGATAAGTAGCGATATTATATTTTCTTTGGTGGCTGCATGATGAACATGTGTTTAGATTTGGCATTTATTTGAGTTTAAATTGATTTTAGTTGAAGGAGTGAAATTTCAAAAGTTTGGTAAATCTATATAGATGTTCATGAAATTTTGGGAAAAATATTTAAAGAATAATTGTGCGGTTTTAGTTTGAATGCACACAATAATTGATGAATTGTTTGATAGGAGGATGTTAGTTTTTAGTAGCAAATGAATGTGATAAGTGAATTATTGTTGGGTATATTGTTATAATAGGCGATTATTCTTTGTAATATAAGGTTGAAATTGTAGTTAGAAAATTTTAGGGGTCAATAATTCAAGAACCAAGTTTGTTGGTTCTTTTATTAGCTTTTGAGTTCAAATAGTGCTTGATAAAATGTTTGAGGAATTAAGTTTATGAAAGTTAAATATATACCAATGATAATATTAATTATATTACAATAGAAGTTGCTTTTTGTCTATAGATAAACTTGGAAACTTTGAGTGTTGTCTATATATGTATTTGTTGAGGATTTATTGATTAAACTTTCCTTCTTATTTGTGAAAGGTTGATGTTGATGAGATTCTCTTTTCTCCATTCTTTCAATTTGTTTGGATTGAAGATTTTGAATTTATAAAATATATAAAAGAAATAACAATAATGTTCCTTTGGGCGTTAGAGAATTAAGGCATGGACAGTATTATAAAAGTGGCTAATTAGGAGAAAATTATATGTTTGGGAATGTTTCAGGTAAGTGAATAACATCCCAATCAATTTATTTATTTATAAATTTTCTTTTTATCAAAATATTATTTTAAATAATTTACATGTATTGATATATTGCTAGTATTAATTACTTTGGTTAATTGAGTTACTCTAACTCTTGAAGTCACAACATTTATTTATTTATTTATTTTCTCTTTGATTGATGAAAATTCTTTTACAAATTCTGGTGGTCATTTATTCAATAAGGACAATAATGAAACTTTGTGATAAAGTTTGAGATATTAGTTGTTAACTTTCATATTTAGAAGAAATGATATTTTATACGAGTCATGCGAGTTTGATATTGAGGAGAGAAAATTTTATTTTGAAAGTAATGATTATTTTGCATGTTTGAAAGTGGATTTAAAAAGGAACTTTATATAGAACACTGGTTGCTACGACAGTTCCGTTAGCCCTTGGTGCGCCTTAATCAATGACTAGTTAGTTTATCTTCGTGAGCTCTATTCTCACATGTGTTATTCATGGGTTTTGTACCTACGTTTGTTTCATAGCTTTAATCATATTTGGTTAGTTATCCTTGTGGACTGTGTGCCTATGTCTATTTCGTGGCTTCAACCATATCTGGTTATTTACCTCCGTAGATTATGTGTTCATATTTATTAATTATTCTAATAAGTCCCCAGAAATATAGTTTTTAATTATTTGGTGATTTCATACTCCATTGTTTTAAATTAGTAAATGCTACTATATTTATTTATTTTAATTATTTATCTTCTTGAGATCAAGTGATAAGGATATTTGATATTATAAATTTAATGGCTTAAGATTTTACTCAAGGCTATATAAAGTCTCTTATGTTCAAAATTTATAAAATATTTTATATGAAATTGTTGTCTTTTTAATTTATATAATCATTGTTATTTATTCAATTTATCCTTTTAAATTTTATTAATATTGGGATTTATTCACTATAAAACATTTATTTGGTCTCAAATAGCATAATTGACGCTATACCTTTTTGCTAACCTTTGAGGGCTCATTGCGGGATTGATTAGAAGATTTTTGAGGATACATTCCATTTGATGTAAATGCTTAATTATGTGTTATATTTTGAAATTATGATTAGTTGCTCCATGTTAACTATAGGTAGGATTATTATTTATAATTTATTTGTCTGTCTGTTATGGAGGAGTAGAGCTTTGTATTTCTAATTTAGGCTATATATGGCTATTATAGAGATTTTTGGAGGTTCCATTTATAGGGAAGGTTCTACTTAATTTTTATAGAAAATTTAGAAAGCCTTTTGTTTAAATGAAAATGTTTCAGTGATTTTCAAATCATATTTCATATAAATTCAGATATCAAATTAGAGATTTCTTAATCAAGGCTTAAGGGATGTGTATTTGTGCATATGTCCAATGCAGGTCATGGTTAATTTTTGAGGGATGACACATTGTAGACTGTATAATCTTTCAAGAGTTATTTACAAAACTAAGAAGTTGATGCGAAGTCCACTTAGGCATTTTGGTGAACTGAAAGGATATACTTTTGACACTTTTATCTTTTAGTGTTAATGAGAAAATTTTAATATTGTTGGAAGAAGACTTAAGAATGATTATCTCCACTCTATTAAATAAATTGTACTAATGAAGTTTGAAACCCATTGAATATGAACAACCAATTGATGAATTCTATCCAATGATGCAATTAATTTTGAACTGGGGCTCCTAGAATTTTAAACATGATTCTATACTATTGTTCGTTCCATAACTTATTTTCTATAGTTAAAAATTCTAGAAAACCTTCCAAACCAATGTTTACAATATGTGAATATTTCCTTATTTATGTTTGCATGACATTACACATGCAAAAGAACGTTTCACAATTAGAAAAGGTGAGAATATATCCTCCTTTGAAGCTTACAAGATGAAAGTTTCCTGCAATACTAACATGGTGAAACTTTAAGTTTGTTATCTCTTTCCAGATCAAGTCTGTAAAGCCATTTGACAGTTTTTGCTTCTAGTCTTGTTCTATTGCTCCAGCGCCTTAGATTTAGTTAACTATTATCATAGTGCAACCGGTAGAGTTTTGACTATCTATTATTTTCCTTTAATATTCATTTCCCCATTTTATGTTGTCCTTAGTAAAGGATTTCCAATCTTATATACAAAGTTCATATGTTGTAGTTGGTGGTCTAGTCCTAGTTTTCATAAATTAAAAGAGAGAGAAAGTGCATGTAAACATTTGCATTGATTGATGTTTTTCTTTTAATCTTAACTAATAATGATCCAATTTCATTTTCTTATGAAAATGAAAATTGTCATTCAAGTGATATTCAAAACGATGACTTTACTTGCCTTACTCCTTACATGTTATATTTGAATAATAGTTGTAATTGATTGATGTAAGGCCAAAAATAGTGGACATGAGATGTTTTCTTATAATATATGCTTCAGAATGAAGTGTTAGAATTTGAAAATTTATATGTCCTAAAGATCTATGAAGGAATGCAATAGAGGTAATATTCAACATCTTTATCTTTTATTTAATCTAAGTAATATAATGTAATGAGAAATTTTTCTTTGTTTCCCTCCTAAAATTTTGAGTCTATTTTTATTACAGTATTTGATATTGCATACTTTGCAGTATCCTTTGTGCTAATATTCATTTTACTATTTTATTGCAGAGAGTAAATTGCTAGAAGAAGGGTTGGACCCTTGCAGAAGTACCTTAACGTAAAAGTGATAAGTTTGGGAATTGATAATACTATTGAACCAATTATACCTTAGATAAACATCTTATACCTGTATTTAGCATGGCATGAATGACCCAATTGTGATTGTTACTAATTTTTATTTCAAGCATAATGTTTTAAAGGCACCGAAGTATAAGGTTTTATATGAAGATGAGGAAACATAAGTTCAAGTCAAGAAGCTCCTGCAAATTTAACTCAAGTGAGCTATAAGGAAATGCTGATGAAGAGATTTCCTTGGAAAATTGAATGAAATTGCGTTGTACTTTGAAGTGTACTTATGACCATCCCCTTTATTTGTTTCTTTTCTTTGTATGTGATAATATGTAGTTTAACATGGCACAATGTTGTTCTTAAGTCCCTATGGTATATATTTTTTTATATGGGGTGCCTTATAGTCTTTATTTATCATTTTGATTGTACTTTATAGAAAGATAGACCAAATTTAATGGAATTAATGTTCTTTCATTGAAATTATTGTTGTTTATTCTTGCTTTTCACATTTACTTGTTTTCTTGGGACAATGTAGTTGTTCTCAATGTTACATTATTGAATTAACATATTTTACAGGTTAACATGCCTTGTTATATGATGTATAATACTTAAAAAAGAGAGAACTTATTGTAAGTGTTATCTTATTTATTTTTTGTATAAGGTATGATGTAGTTTAACATGGGCATACAATTGTTCATACTCTCCATAATATATTTTTTGATTTTGGCTTAAGGTACAAAGATTCTAGCTTGGGTGTAAGAGGTATAGCTTAGGTAAAATGCTTCTGGTTTAAGGTACATGTATTATGGCTTAGGGTGTAAGGGGTATAGCTTAGGTATAAGGGATTTGGTTTAGGGTGCAAAACTTTTAACTTAGTCATTTTCATATAATTCATAGTTGTTTTCATATAATTCAAGGGCACTAGTAGTGGTATGCTCTCTGTATGTTTGATTTAGATGTAATCCTCTAAAGATTACATGTAAATTATTCTTCAAGCATACTCATCAATTTTTTCGCACATCAATTTACATGTAATCAATGATAGTTTATATGTAAATTTGAGGCACTAACAGGGGCATCCTCAATGTGTGATTGATTTACATGTAATCCGCTAGAGATTACATGTAAATTATTCCTTAGGCATGTTGGCACCACATCGATTTACATGTAATCAATGGTAATTTACATATAAATCTGAGGCACTAATAAGGGCATCCTCTCTGTGTGATTGATTTACATGTAATCTGCTAGAGATTACATGTAAATTATTCCTTAGGCATGCCTACAAATTTTTTTCCATATTGATTTATAGGTAATCCATAATAATTTTCATGTAATTCTAGGAGATTGACAAGGTTGGTCCTTGGGACCAATTTCCCTTCCAATAAAGTCTTTTTCATCAATTTTCCCAAATTTTTATCTTAATATGATAGTAATTTCTAAAACTTCAAAATTGACAATTTGGGTTAAAGGTCACTGTTGCCCCTGTACTTATTTCTTAGGAGAGCTGGGTACTCTATACTCTTAAGTAAGGCAAATTTACCCTTGAACTATTTTTCAGAGGAGCAAAAACCCCCTCCCATTAATCAACCATTAACTTTTTTGTTTTTTGCTGATGTGGCATGTGCATGGGGCCCACGCATAGTGACATGTAACACGTGGCATGTTCTTTGGAGCTAATTTGCCCTTGAACTCTTTTTTAGGAGCGCTAAGCACCCTAAGTCTTTTTCTCGAAGGGCTGGGCACCCTGAAATCTTGTTAAAATAAAATTGAATAAGTATTATTAAAATATTAAGTATTTTAATATTTAATAATTTAAATATGATTATTAAAAACATAATATCACCTAATTTAATATTTTTTATATTTCAACAATATCCAAATATTATTCTTTAATACAGTATCTAAATCGTTACGCCTTTTGTAAGTGTCTGAACTTACTTATATTTTTAATATTGGTTAAGTTTCTAAATTTTTTAGGTCAACTAATGATCTTCGTCCAAAATATTGCATTATCCAAATTTAATACTCTTTGTATGCTTTTGTGTTAATAGTAAAATCATAAACATGATGAATTAGGGCCAACAATATAATAATAAAAAATATTTATTTGAAAGATATCGCTTATTTCATTAATATGCTGCAAAAAAGTTACTTAATAAGAGAAAAATAGAGAGATGAGAAGAAAAAAAAATCCCTTTTTTAACTTAGAGGTTCATTCATTTCATTTTTGATACAAAATTGCAAAATATCAAAAATATTAAAATATTAAATTGGATGGTGTAATGTTTTAAATAATAATATTTAAATTATTAAATGTTAAAATACTTAATATTTTAACAATATTTATTCAATTTTATTTTAACAAGATTTTAGGGTGACCAACACTCTGAGAAAAAAAATTTTAAGGTGCTTAGCGCTCCTAAAAAAAAATTCAAGGGCAAATTAGTACTAAAGACATGCCACGTGTTACATGTCACTATGCATAGGCCTCACGCACATGCCATGTTAGCAAAAAATGAAAAAAAATTAACGGTTGATTAACAAAAAGGGTTTTTACTCCTTTGAAAAATAGTTCAAGGGTAAGTTCGTCCCATTTAAGAGTATAGGATACCCAGCGCTCCTAAAAAATACGTACAGGGGCAAAAGTGACTTTTAACCCATTTTGAATAGATAAAGGAAGGGTTATAAATAAAAATATACTAGTGCATAAGCAAAACACATAAGTTAATTGTAGAAAGAACTACTAAAAGAAAAACCATGACCTACATGCTAAAATATATAGCCCTCATTCCTGTGAGACTTTAAAATTAACATAAATGAAATAATGACAGGTAACCAACATGTTAAGCCACTAACAAAAAAATCTCTGAAACCATTTGAGGTTATTCAGGAAGATTATTGCTTGAAGCACCATGCATTGTTAGCCTCGCAGTAAATTCCAAATTCAAAATTATCGGGTTAAATTTTTGTCTGTAATTTTTGAGGTATTTTTCTATCATTTTTTTATTAACTAATAGTCAAAGTTAGATTTTATTAATAGTAGGAGTTAGCTTGCATACTTTTCTATCATCATATTTTGCTAATTAGCATGTTGTCTAACTCCTTGAAAAATATCATCATAGCTGTGTGCGGCAAGAGCATTGTCACAATAATGTGTTCCTCTCCTTTTGCATTCTTATGTGAAACAAAGAAGCTTGATCCAAAGATAGCTCTAGCACCAGCCATTGCTAGTCCAGCATATACTGGCTTACCCTAACCAAAATCTACGTCCTTAAACCCAACACGTGTTACATCTGACACAATCCAAGACCTTGAGGTAGTAAAGCAAGGTCGTCCTCTAATCACCATAAGATCTGCTACAGATTGTATATACTCTTCCATTGTCATAGCTTTAGATTTCTTGACAAGATCTAGAGCGTCTCTAAATGAGTTTCTACAGAACTTCCCGACAGTGGTGACGACGGTTGGGAACGTAGAAGAGTTGCCATGATAACCAAGTCCCAATAATGGAGGATTTGACTTACCTCTTACATTATTAATGCACATCAACCGAACCTCCTTATCTAGTTCAAGCTGTAAAGCTATGGTGCGACAACGCCATATGAATGCTGTGAGAACCTCAAATGCAGAGTTGTGACAACCTTGGTGACAAGGAAACAATTGATGAATGGCCTTAACTTGCTGGGTCTAAAGAAGAAAGAATGGTGGACCATGGGTTCATCACTTATTGTCATCATCATCAAGCACCTCAATGTATTCATTATGGGTACATGTAATACAAGGTGGTCCCTTGCATTTAGTAACTCTCTACACTAAACTGGAGGAATTGAAGACTCACAAGTACCTCGTGCAATCTAGCTAAGGCATTCAAGAATTGAGTATACTAGGAGCATAATCACTGTGTGATTTAGCGAATAGCGAGAATAAAACCCACCACACTTGAGACGTGTAACTTGTGATAAAGGAAGAAAAGCACAACATTAGCACATGTTGCAGTAAGTTGAAGTGAACACTGTAGCATTTATAACGAAAATACCACAACACACTCTCTCTCCCTCTAATCTTAACAGACTTTGCCATTATCAATAAGGAAGGATAGTTATATCATTAAATCGTTAAAAGTAAAAAGGATACTCCTCAGTTCCTAATTACAAAACACTTTTAGGCTAAATTTCACATACCAATAAACCTAATTAAATATACTTAACAACCTTATGTTTGTAAAAAAAAATATAAACTTTTAAAAATACTCTTCATTTAATATATTGAAAAGAGAAAGGGACAAAATAAATAAACAGATAAAGGAATATATAGCAATAAGCTTATTTAATGAAACCTTAATATTCTCAAAGTATCTCATATTCTGGGATACTAAATTTCTCCTACAAGTATCTTATAACTTGAGGAAGAGGAGGATGTAGCTTTCTAATTTTATCATTCTTTGTAATTAATAACCAAAGTAAAAATTTTTAGGGATTCAAAAGTAATAAATAAACAAGGGTAAAATTGGAAAAATAATTAATCTAATTTTGTTTTATATTATTGACTAAAAAGTTTAAAACTTGGCCTTAAGGATGAGAGAGTATAAATGAATGAGGATACCTGTATGAGTGAATGAGGATACTGTATGAGTAAAAGGGAAAGTTAGTGAATCCATCTGAACCAAGAACATTATAAAAAACCTCTTCAAAGCAAGGGAATGGAAGTTGAAGAGTGTAACCAATTGGGAAAGAGAGACATCAGCATCAGCTTCAATGAATAAAACTCCTTCATTACATTCAACCATAAGTTTACGACTAGACTTTCTCTAAGTCAACTTGCAAATGGATAGTAAAAGACTAGGGTTGAGGAAAGCACCTTTCTGATAACACAAAAGCGGGTCCTTTCCTGCCATGGAAGGCTGGTGAGAATAAAAAGTGTGTTATAGGAAGTTGAAATCACAAAAATCTTGGTCATCAATATCAGATAGTAGCTTTAGTTCATGAGGGGTAGGCTTGCCAGAGGTATTAGGTCGAGTTCACACCTCCTCATAGTAAATTTTATGTCTAATGGGGAAAATGATTATCTCTGTTAAAACATGCAAAGAATTTATAAATTGCAAGAGATAAGGAGAATGAGAATATGGTAGCTACTTAGTTTGTGATTGTGATGTGCTGAGCTAGGTAGCATTGTATATAATATTCTATTTTTGTAGGAAAAATAACATGTGGTATAGAATTTGCATGAAGATATATAGGATATCTAAAATTAATTTTAGTTATTTGTGATTCACTGTACATATAACATGTGTGTCATGCATAACTTATTTCAAAATCCATCTAAATTAATGACACCAAATTGACAACAACCCAACCGACCAAACCAATTTTAAAGAAAGTTTGGTTTAGTTGTTTGTTTTTTTATAAGGATTAAAAGACATTTTTACCTCCCAACTATTTGTTAGGAACGTTTAGTATCTAAACTTCATGTAATACAATTTTCGCTTCAACAAGGTGCCTAGTGTACCTTTTTCAAACTTTAAAGGTTTAAATTGTAGGATATGTAAATTTAAATTATCTCCTAAATAAATAGTTGAGGGGAAAAAAATGCCCTTTAATACTTTTGATATAATTTGTTAGCTAGTTCAGTTATTTTTTTTTCTTCTTAAACTTATTTAAATTATTTAATACATTTTCTTTTACAATTTTTCTATTTAATGCCCAATCGTGTCTTGTATGTCTTTAAAAAAGAGCATAGGACACAATAAAAAATAAAAATATTATCATAATATAATAACAGTTTTAAAAACCTAAAAATTCTCAATTTTGAATTGATAAAGAAAATATTATAAATAAATATATATTATTAACATATAAAAAATTAAAATAATTCTAGTGAAATCCAATATGAGAGATAAAATGCATCTCCCACATCCTGAAACAATGGAATGGAATGGATAACCAAAGTGTTGTCCAAGAAAGAAAATTAAAGTCTTGATCCACCAGGGGTTCCCTATGTTCGCTGGAATATTATTGGGTTTATGATGGTGGCTAGGAAGGATTATTTACTTTTTTATCCTTCAAACTATACTTCAGGAACCAACATCTTTATTCTATTTAGTGCAATCTTACTCTCAAAACATAAAAGAAAGAAAATTTTTTTGATGCAAATCAACATCTAATAGAATCCAAGACATTTGTTGGCCTCAGTGCACTTATTTAACAGATATTTCCTCTCTTAATAGCAAGAGATAAATGCACTGTTTTATAAAATTTAAGGGAAAGTTCAAGAATAATTTGAGGACAAAAATGACATTTAACGATCTTATTAGACTCATTACCTTTCCAATCCTCATAATAAAATCCTTTGCTTAAAATATTAATTTTTCCCTAAAATCTTTTTTTTTTAAACTTTTAATATTCGTTAATAATAAACTAATTAAACAATTCCTTGATTAAAAGTTAACAAATTTAACTAATTTTAAATGAATCCTTATTAAAACAACCAGATGGAGAATGGAGGATCTATTTGATGGAAATGAGACAATCAATTACATTATTGTACTGTAGTCGTAGAATCAAATTTACCAGCCGGCAGAGAGTTAAATGGATCCCTGGGTGGATATGAACCTAAGACCCTACTCTTAGTTGCCTTGCTTCTCACGTTTTGTGGTATTTAAATTTGATATTTGAATTTAGCCGTGTGGACCTTATCGAGGAAACGACACTGTACGTTGTGGCAATGATATTATACGGGCCAAAGATATATGTTGTGGCAACGAATTGTGATAGAGAATTTGTGGCATTCAACGTTCAGGTTTGACAATACTCTATTACAAAACAAAATGAGACTGTTCAATTTTGTTGTGGCTCCGATGAGTTATATCAAGTCTCTTTCTTTCACTTAAAGGATCAGTATCACCCTAGCATCACCTCACCATCACATCATTTATTATTGTCATATCCATATTATTACCTTCATTTGTAAATTGATCAAACTCAAACTCACAAACCTTACACTCATTAGTATCTTGTATCCTTCTTATTACCAGTTGAGCTGAAAGTAATTTCAATCTTAATTCAATATATTATACTTAACCACATACATATATATTAATAAATATATTATTTTAAATTACTACTCTCTCCATTAAAAAATTTAAGTCATTTTTTGAGGAGTTGGATATTCAAAAATAAGATATTTTTAGTCTTTCAAGGTGTATCATTACCTTTTTTTCCAAAAGTATTCCTATTGATAATGACTTCATATTAGTGCAGGTGTGTTTAATAGGGATAAATATGAAAAGTAGGGGTAGTAGTGGAAAGTAGGTAACTACTTATTAGGGAGTGAGATTTGATTAAAAATGCCTTACATTTTTAAACGGTGGGAGTATTTTTTAAGATTATATTTATTATTAACATGGAAAAAGTAATTTACTAAATAATTATTTCTATTATATTTTATTTAAAAAAAATTAATTTTTAATAAATATTTAATTATTGAAAAAAAAAACATTTTATTATCCATATATTATATTATAGTTTATCTATATAATATACAATTTTAAATTTTTAAAGTTTTATTTATTAAATATTTTCATTTTTAAATAAGAATAAGTAAGTATACAATTTAAATTATTATTATTAGTAATATACAAGTAATTTAAAATATTAATTATTTTAAATTATAATTTTTAAAATATTTATTCATAGCATAATAATAAACTATTAAATAAATTATATATAAATATCTATATTATAAAAATAAAATTAAATTAATATATATATATATATATATTGCAAATATACACACACATGTTTGTGGATTGGTTTCAAAAGGTATGTTAGTGTAGATTAGGCTATGCAATTGTTACTGTGAATTTTGATATCACATGTTATTTCTTACTAATTTTCAAGTGAGCAGTCAGGTAGAGCTCTTGGAGGGCCTCAAAGAAGTGAGTTTAGGCTTTTTTCTCTCGACTTCACACATGGTTTTTTGTTTATTTTATGACTATAGTTGCCATGACCTAGGAACTAATTATATAACTTTATTTTGAAAAAATTGTTATAGGTATTTGATTAGAACTGTGTAATCCTTTTATTTAAACTAGATGACTTTTGAGTACACTAATCTAGACTATGGTTTTTTTATTGGCCAAGGCTATTTATTCTGGATTGTATAAATTAATGGTATTATATAGGAAAAATATGTGTTTAGCTAGATTGATGATATTTAAAAACTGTAATTGAACCAGGGCTTGTTGTGAACTATTTTTAGGCTTTTTTGCCTTAAGCCTAGTAGTAGTTATTTTGTGGAATCTCGTTGTATTTTTTATTTTGGTAGCTTTTTTTAGAAAAATATTTATTTACAAATAAAACAGGGAAAGGGAAAGGTTTTGTTTTATATGAAAATATTTGAAAACTTGTGATAAAAATCAAGTCCATTACAATTAACCACAACTAAAATTATTTCTAACTCTCATTAGCCCGTTTAGACTCCTAACAGTCTAATCATTATCATTAGTCACTCATATTATCATTAACTCCCTTGTTTACCATTAAGATTTACTCTAAACTGCTCATAACAAACCCCTAAATTACTACCTAATCCAAAAGTTAGACGCTTAAATAAACCTCTAAATATCCATTAGAAGCTAGAACACAAGTGGAATGTAACATCCTATTTTTGTAATTAAGGTTTTTAGAGTGATTAAAGCTTGATTTAATGATTATATTAAGGTTAATCATAGAGTTGGGTAGGTGGAAGATCACAACACACTAGGTTTTTTTCAGAGAATTCAAGGTTATGATCTCAACTGCCGGTGAATATAGCCGTGAATGACCACGATTGTCCACAGATTAAGGACAAAGAGAGACTGGTGTCTCAATTTGCTTCCATCACAATTGAGGCAAAAGAGGAATAGTACATCTGTTCGTGGTCAAAAGATAATATGGGTGTGAACAATCATCCCCCTTTGACGTTTTGCTCCCACATGGACAAGATCACATCTCTCAGGACCAGTCGCACCAACACATCTCACTAACTTGTTTTATAAAGAGCATCCTTATACTTCATTTTCAAGAGAAGAGCGAGAGAGATGGTGTTGAGGAGAGAGTAGGAGGCAAGGGTTTATTGATTTAGGGTCTTGGCGCATGGTTTGGAGCCTCTCAGTACTATAATTTATCTCGATGAATGTCATTCCCTAATTGAGGAGCTTGTATAGGTAACTCTTGTTGCTTTTTCTTGGGAGAGGAAACCATTTAATTTACCTCGCGTGCTAACTTTGTTTGATTGAATTGCCTGATTTGTGAACACAATATATATATATATGTATATTTCAAATATTACAATTCTATGACAATAATTCTATTAAGTGAGATGCTTGTGGATATTTTACGTGTTGGATACTTTTTTAAATAAGAAAATGTGATGAATTGAGAACATAGCTGCTGGCCATGTTTATAAGATTGTGTCTATAGTTGAGAGATGTAAATATTGAATCACATGTCTTGTGTTCAATCATGATGCTTCATTTTTCAAGATTGAGTCTAAAAAAAAATTAGTTTAAATGAGCGACCCATCCTATATTTACTGGCTCAAAAATAAGATCACTTTTAGTTATCTCATTAGTGCTTCTTATAATTTTATAGAGGCTTTTACATATATAACCCATATTATAGAACTAAACTAAGCAAATAGCTCAACTTTATTATATTTGCATTATAACTAGTTTATTTTATGTGTATGAGTGTGTGTGTGTTTATCAATAATATACCATTATATATCAATAATAAATTCATTGCCAAT